GGAAACTTGGGAAATAAAAGGTGCCATACACTGTTTTAAAAAATGACATCAGAACTGTGACACAAAAAAATGTGACTTGAATGATTAATAAGTTCCAAACCTGCAAGTATCAATACTTAGGTAAATTATATATAATCTTAAGTTGTGTATATTAGAGATAAGAGTAAAGGGCTTTTGGGTAGTTTATACTGAACCAATTTTATTTGCATTTCTGAACTGAGTAGAACTCAGATATTTTTTGGCTTGGGCATTTCATCATGTTTTTCAGTTTTGGGGCTCAAAATCTGCATTGAAATTCATAGAGAAGGATGTGAATTTTCATGCAAGTTTAAAACATTCACTGATTAATGAAAAATTGAACAGAATGGACATTTGATGAATATCTGTAAAACTGCCATAATCAGAAATGATTTTTTCTATTGCTATTCATATATATTAACCTAGGACAGTTCACACATGCATGTGCAAGGCTTTATATCTCTACATAATCTTAGGTTTCAACTGGATTTATAACTGAATGTTTGAACTAACTCTACAAAAGAATATTAAGTCTGATGTTAAATTCAATTATATGAACTTTCCAACTGTGATACTAGATCTTTGATTACTCATTTTTATATGCAAATCAACTCCTGATATTAGACTCAAATCAAGGCTATGAAAATGTGAAAACAAATTGGGTAGATTGTGAAAAACTTAAAAGCATTTTGTTAATGTCCATAGATGTGAAAGTCTTATCTATTGTATCCTATCCAAGCCATCACAACAAATCACAGATGTTCATGTTTAAACAAGACTTACAGTAATTATTTGAGAAGCTATGACAACAAGAATCTGCCAGTATTAAAAGATTACAGCTGAAACTAAGAAGACCATGCAACTTTCAAATGTGTTAAATCCACTCTTCTTTCACCACCATGTAATAGGCACTTCCATGGGTTCATGGGAGTTGATACAAAACATAGTACAAAATTCCTTTTGTGAATTTCTTTCTCTTTTAAGACAGCAAGTAAAACAAAGAGCATTTATTTTTGTTTTTACAACCTTTCTTTGCAAAAGCTATTTACAACTAGATCACCACATTCTATTCTTCACTCCTTCCTACATCTGCCCACTTGCTAGGTTACCAGAGTGATTCCTTTTCTATTGAAAATGTTTGCAAGCTATAGTGTTAGCTTAACCTGTATGTACATATAATCATTTCTAAGTACCCTACCTACTTTCTATTTAAAGATAAGTAAGAGGCTAACATATTGAGTAGCATTCCTGTTTTAAGGCTCATACTGGCTTCTTTCCCTGTGATAGGGAAGAATAGTTTCTATCTCCTTTCAACTTCCCCCAATGGTGCTCTGTGAATGGTGGAAAAGGTCCTATGGTATCTTCCCCTCTTCAGATCTTTGATGAGTCTTCTTAGGATCTCACCCAACTCCACAGATTCCAAGCTCCCTTCCAACTGACAAGTCTTCAGCATTGTAGCACCACTTGGTCCATCTCATGTTCACTAGACAGCATTATTCTTTATTAAAACTAACAGCAGATCTTCAACAGCCAATGTGACCTAAATCCATCTTGGGTTGCCAACCATCACAACTCCATCCCCCTTCCCAGCAGATCTTTTTTTTTTTAAGACTCCACCTTCTTTGCTAGCTCAGCAACTGTCCTATATGAAATCTATATGAAAATCTATATGAAACAATAATATCTCCCTAATGTCAGGCTCTACTTATCAACTACAATAGAACAGAGTCTCTATTTGAGTATTTGCATGGCTATATCACAGAGGCATGTCTCCTCCAAACTGTCACACCCCAAAAAGTTATTAGCCAGAGTTATACATTTAGGAGCCTAAAAAACTAAGTAAATTGTTTCAGTTTAAGAGTTTGTTGTTCAAACTCTTGAAAATAGTTTTATAGGTCACAGTTCACTAAATGGTAGTGGTTTACAAAGGCTGGAATAGTAATCTGTCAGGATTACAGGACACAGGTCTTATCCATGCATATGTGTGTACATGATTGATGTAATTATAAAGGTATGGGAATGTAATCCAGAATGTCACTCTAAAGTTGAGAAATAAAGGAATATCAGTTCAGTGCAAATCAGTAGGAGCTTGATAGATGTGTGATAGAGTAAAATGTGGTTGCAAAGATCTGTATCTGGAGGAAGTTAAAATCAAGGGGGGATAAGCACCTTCTGTGAGAGCAAATAGAAAACAAAGTTGAAGAAGAGATTAACTGTTGCTGCAACAAAAGAGCAACACAGTTAGGAGTCTTTAAAAACAATAGAATTGGGGCCTCTGGTCAAGAAAGAGTCTTTTGTATCCTAAGGAGTGGAGATGCAGAAAATGAAACTCAGGAGTTTGGAAAAGGTGTAAAAAATTGGAGCTGAGTGTGCATGAGAGAAAATCTGGGAGAGAAAGAAGAGGAGCAGAAGTCTGGAACAACAGCTAGGAAAAAGAAGAACAGGAAAAGGTTAGTCTAGAAAGGGATATCCTAAGGAGATAAAAAGGTTATAAAACTAGAAAAGAAATAAGACTACTCACAAATAAGCAACACATATGAAGCTTTTCTCAAGGCAGCACCATCCAGGTTAGATTTCACTCCCCGCAGCTAAGAAGGAGAGAGGAAAGGAATTAGGAGCTTCAGTTGGCAACATTCAACCAATGTGGAGAGAGGAAGAGAGAGACTGACAATTACACTACTGACAAAATCACCCAGTCAAACAACTGGGGAAGGATTGAGACTTGAAGAACCAAGATAACTGGGCTGGGTCAGATGGCCCAGAAAGAGGGACCAAGCAACAGGTAGAGGAGAGCAAGAAAAACAAGACTTTAGCAGAAGCAGCTATTGCTTTAGACATTTTACAAAGGAAAAGAAGAGTTGATTTCTTTAAATGTGTACTCTGCCTTTAAGGAGACTGCTTAGTTTTTTATGGGTTGTGTGTATATTAGAGAGAGGGAGGAAAAATGCTTGTTTCTCAGAAAGCTTTTTCTGTAGGATTCCAAGTTCAATATTTTATTGCTGCTTAAAGTTATTCTTTTACTTGTTTGATATCTGTATGGTTCTTGCCTCCTAATGCACATGGTAAAGTTGTTCTTGTCTATTCATGAGAGATTTGACTTTTTTTTTTTTTAATTGGACTTGCAAAGGAGAGGAAGGAAATTGCCCCTTAGAGCCCTCCCCTCCTCTGCTGGTAGTAGATGCAGTAGCAGATTGATTAAAGTGAATTGCAAAGGAGCTGGAAGGGTCCTGCAGGGAAGTTCTATGGAAACCAGATTTCTGAGCCAGGAAGGAAGGGAGACAGACTATGTATGTGTAGCTGAGGTGCATCTTTGCTTCCTGAGACAGAAGATGACTGATTGGGCTGTGCATTTGACTCAGGCAACATCCAAATTCTGAGATCAGTTTTACTTTTCTCCTTCAAGCAACATTTGTTTTCAAAACAGTCACGGAAGTGAAAAGAATCTGCCTTGTGCTTATGAGCCCTCCATCAAGTTAAACATGAGTTTATGTAAAAGAAATAACTTGTTAAAGGTATTTTATGTTATCTTGAGCATAGAATGATACTTGTGGCAAATAGAATCTCAAAGTAAAGCCTTAACTTACTGCGTGCATTTATTCTCAGTGATTTCTTGCTTCTAGCTGCTTAAAATAGTTCCAGGGACAAAGTGGGAAGTGTTAATATCCCAATTGTGGGTTCCTGTTGTGAATACCATTGATCTCTACACTTTGGCCTCCCAGATGGCAAGACTTTTCTGAAGCATATGCCACCCTGTTTGTTGGATTTTGTTTCTGGTTTTGTTTTGTTTCTCTTTTGTTTCTCCTGTAGGGAATAAAAAAGCCTTCACCATTAGGAACTGGGATTGAAAATATTTAGATGATGGCTGTTTTCCCCCAACTCAGGTATTGCTATTACTTCCATAGTGGCACAACTATGCCATGTTGAGGAATGCTATGCAAAATGCCTAAGAAGATACCATAGTTCAAACTGGTCTTGGAAATCGGTTACTGATGGGATCTGAGCAGCTTGCAAACTGAGGGAAATTAAGAGGTCTGGGAAGAGGCTAGAATTGAACCTGTGAGATTCAGAATACAATCACATTAAAAAAGAAAAAGAAAATTAGACCAGGGTAGAATAAAATCTGAATTCACCTAACCAGTTGTATACTGGCTTGACATTAAAATCTTATCTGGACCTCGGTTAACTGGATCTGATGCTCAGTGGGGACAATGTTTTAAGGTTCCCTATTACCCATAGACCCTAGTTTAGTTTGGATCAAGACAGCTTGTTTATTTTTAAGGAAATAGTTATGCAAATTGATTTTGTCTAGTCTGCCACTAATCTTCTTGGAAAGCAATCTGAGGTGTCTTTCAGTTTAGGGATTATTGTTATCAGTGGCTAACACTAGCTAAACCCTATATGAAAGGGACAATGAAAGAGGAAGGCAGGCACTGAAGTAAAGAAAAAATACATTTCAGAAAACATTCCTTTTTCAAGTGGTCTTCTGAAATATCTATGAATTTAAGTGTTCTTGGAAAAAAAAAAATCCCTGAGATAGCTCAGGCCAATTTTATTTTTTAATTGGCACATGGGATTTCTCCCTGTCTGTTTTATTTATATGAGGGTAACACCTTCCACAGATATATTTATACCTGACTTCCAGCCAAGTGAGGTCTGGAGAAACTCTAACTTTCCAAACATTGTTAAATACAACTCCCAATATCTCTAATCTATGGCTGAGACTGCTAAGAATTGTAATTACATCATGTAACCCATGATGTAAATGAGACTTCTCAATCCAAATGTTTAAATAGTAACAATTTAAACAAAGTCTATGAGAGTCATGAGAGCCAGTTTGGTGTAGTGGTTAAGCACCAGGCAAGAAACCAGGAGACTGTGAGTTCTAGTCCCACCTCAGGCACAAATCCAGCTGGATCACCATGGGCCAGTCACACTCTCTCAGCCCTAGGAAGGATGCAATGGCAGGCCATTTCTGAAAACATTGCAAGAAACTGGAGGGACTCATCCAGGCAGTCACCAGGAGTAAACATTGACTTGAAGGCATCCTCATCCTCAAAGGTTTTTCCTCCTTATCTAAGAAGTTAGAAGAATAGTGTTGCTATTGTTACTTGAAGGTACTTTCTTACCAAGCTATACATTCTGAACAGCATCCAATGATGGTCTTCCTGGATGTGAAGATCATTCACCCAAAAAAAAAAAAAAAAGCAGTCTCTTAAAATAATACAACAAAGTTCATGTAAACTGCTGAAATTTTTTGGCAGTACATTTTGATAGTAGCCTCAGGCATTTTCCAAAGCTGTGCTTCCTTCTTCTGCATGCCAGACACTTCTACAACTTTGTTGAATTGAAATCCTTGATGATACTACATCCCTTTGTAAGTTGGAAACCATCTGACATGAGTAAACAAATCTTCAACATGTTTAAACTTTTGTTGGTTGGTAATCCAACAGAGAAATGCCAGGACATTATTGCTGTTGTAGAAGCTGTACTATTGACTAAGTGTACATAATCATGAAAAACAGAGAATCTGTAAAATCACAATAGGAAAGTTGTTAATCTCAAACTTTCAGTATGCACCCAGAGTAGAGTGTTAATAGAGCCTTGCCACAGTCAACCTAACCTCACTCACATGAGACAGATCTTAGAATACAAAACCAAAAACAATCTAAGAAGCCCATTAAAACTCCCTAACGGAGGCTAAGCCACCAGAATAATAATTTGGAGGGGAAGAGAGTGATAATGTAGGCAGTGGAGAAACAAGGAAAAAGGGAGGGGTTGAGAGAGCACACATTCTAAATGCATTTTTCTCTAAAGGTGAACAAATGAGATTTTCACTCAAGTATTTTTTGTCAAGTACTCTCTAGAGTTTTACAAGCAAAAATGGTTAGCTTTTTCATTTAGGAGTCATCAGTTGAAAAGAGAATGAGACAGAGTGAGCAACATTTGAAAAGCAGATAGTAAGATAACAGTAGTTCCTCAAAATACATTTTATAAAACTGGAAAATCAAATTGATTGCTCGTTGGGCACTCCAAATGGTAAGATTGGAAAGGCAAGTATTAAGTATCTTCTTAAATATCCTGGTTTTAATTCTTCAGGTGCCCTAAACATAAGTTGCTTTTATCAAAAGTGAATACAGAAAATGCCCTTAATTCATACAGAACTGGGATAAACAACTAGGTATAGCTGAAATACAATTCCCACCGATCCTTATCCACCTTAGAACCTGGGGGTTGTAGTTTTGCAATATGAGCGAAGCCAGAGGTTCTACAACTCTGATATATTTTCCTTGCCGTTCTATAGGATCGTGTAATAGTTTATCTTACTTTCTAAGAATGTTGACTGCATTAATGGCATCACATTTACTTTGGTTCTTATTGTCAGAGGGTGGGTCAGAATAGGAGCTGATACACACACACACACAGACCCAATAGTTAAACAAATGAGGGATTTTATTCTGGACACTGATACTAAGTACTAATGAAGTACTGTGATCTAATAATATATACAAGTATTATTTACAAAACTAGTATATGTTCCTCTGTATGCACAGAATACGATAAGAAATATAAGAAATCAAGTCTTAACCTACTTAATTTTCTTCCCTATTAAGCCTAGTTCCTTCACTTTACCTTGTAATTTATTGCAGCTTCTACTCCCCCTTCCGATCTCAGTTACTAACACTGGAATATCTGTGAGTTTTCTCCTGGCTATTTTACCACCAAACAAAGCCTTTAATTCAGAAAGTTCCATTGTCCAGCACTGGAATCTTCATACACATAATGCAGTCTACCCTCCTGGTCTTTCTGCACTCTCACAAGCTGCTCCCAGCTTTTTCATCTTGGTCTTCCTCCACATTCCAGGGCTGGAATCTCTGGACATGGCAGGCTGGTTGTTCCTCTGCTCCACTCCGTGTTAACGAGGTAATGTTCTCTCTAGCACCATGCCCTGCAGCATCTGAAATACATGCCCCTCCTTTCTCTACTTCTTCTTTCTCTTTTTATATCCTATATCTGAGGTGTGTATGTGCCATTTCACAGGTGCATGCTAGCATTTGCTTCTTTTTCTGCCCATGTACTCTTGGTTTTGTGTTGAGTCATCTGCCTCCCCCCCCACAAATAAATAAATTAAAAATTAAAAATCCACGACCTTAGCAAAGACCCAACCACTTGTCTCCCAGCTGGGCTTTACTGTGCCACACTGAATCTTTTTCCAAAGATGATTCTTTTCTCAGAATGGATAATATATGGGCCTGAAAGTAACTTATGACCAGTGATCAAAGTCTCCATGTTAAATTAAATGGAAAAGCTAAAAATATCCAGAAGGCTATTTATCCATATCATACCATCATTTATGCATGAGGAAAAAGAACAGGAGCTAGTCTCCAGAAGATTGAAATGATGGATTCTTCTTCCAATTTTTGTTTGTTTAGGCTTGTTTAAGTTGGCCTCGTAGACAAGGATGAACAAGATGACCCATAATTTCACTAATTTGCATTTGTTCTGGCAAGTTAAGAGTGAAAGTCAGAAAATGTATTGTGTATCAAACATAAAAGGGTGCCCACAGGATATGGTCAAAAAAGTCAAGATGGCAATACAACAGTA